AAACACTAACAGAAAAGCATGAAGAAACATGAAACTGCAGAGACACAACGGAATGCTACGCGGCTGCCATGGTGGAGGTGGAGTAACTTCTATAAAAGCTACATACGAAAACGTGATATAAGTAGGTACAAATTACGACATTGTAGTTTATAATGTGAGGGAGGAGACGTCAGATTAGTTCCTGCACACAGGAAAATTAAATTGGTACCGGCTTTAAAAGGACTACTATAATGGTGAGATATTTTAAATCTAACTCCTTTGGTGACCACAAAGAAAGTAACTCTAGAAACCTAAACACAAAAAAGGAAAAAGAATTAAATCCTTTGGATGCAAAAAGCTAGTGAAAGATGGTAAGAGGGGAAAGAGGCACGGTGGGACTACAGGACAAGAAAGACAGCCGAATAGAGTAGCAAATTCCTCCCTATCAATAACTACTTTAAGTATAAATGTATTGAACGCCCCCAATAAATCAATCTATAGAGTAATTAAATGAAACAGAAAACAAAGCAGTAAGATTAATCTTTCCTGGCCACAAGAAATTCTCTTTAGATTCAATTATATGATCAACGAAAAGTATAAGAAAAAGATTCTCTATGAAAACAGTAACCATGAGAAAAAATGGCTTTTCCCTCCTTTGAAGGAGACTAAGTAAAAAGAAGCTGTCTCTAGAAATAAAGATCATTACACAATGATAAAAGGTTAAATTAAATAGTAAAATAGAATTATTATAAATGAAACAACCTAAGTATGCAATGCAAATATTGACAGATCTGAAAGGAGACATTGGGGACAATGTGATATTAGTAAAAACAATAATAATAATAAAAAATAAATAAATAAACCTCCAATGCCCCATTTTTCATAATGGGTAGAAAGATCCAGGAGCTGGGTGTGGTGGCTCATGCCTGCAATCCCCGCACTTAAGAAGCAGAGGCAGGTTTATGTGCTGCAGGGGAGAGGGATAGAACCCAGGGCTACAGGCACTCTGTAGCTACAGCCCCAGCCCAGGGACTGAAACAGAGACATTCTGGTGATATAGTCAAACTGAGCAGTAGAAAATTTCCCTGTGCGTTATAAACTCCAAAATGCTCAATCTCTCAACCTAGATGCCTTCAAGATGAGTTTCATGTTATTATTTTCTATGTCATATGATGAATTTTCCTTAGAAGATTCCAAAATAAATAAAGTTTGACAATTCAAGAGAAAACAGATGAAAATCTTGAGCAAGAACATCATGAATCAGAATATCCAGGCCAGTGCTCCACCCTTGAGCTGTACCCCAGTTGCAAACAAGGACATCTTACCATTCAGTAAACATTTATTAATCATCAGTGAAATGCAAATTCGATTATATAAACCATCATTATCCATAGTTCAGAAAGGGCAACAATCAGAAAATGCTAGTTCTGGTCCAGAACAAAAAACAACAAGAACTCGCAGATAATGAGGGTGGGGATGCAAGTTGTATACAAATTTCAGAGATGGAGTGGGATTTCTGAGTCCCGGTGATGTATTAATCTACTAAAACTGGATGCATACATAGCTTGTGACCTATATTTTAAAAAGAAAGAAATGTTTGTCACAGTACTACTTATGAAAACCAAAAACTAGAGATGACAGACATCATCATATAGTCAGACTAACAGTCAAAGGTGTTTTCTCAGATGGAATGCTGCACGCCCCTGAGACAAAGTCACAGTTACATGAAACAGTATGAATTTCACAAAATAAAGTGTTTTATTGAGCTTTTAAAATTTCACACAACATTTCCCACTCAAATCCAGACCCCCTCCCCCATCCATGTCTCCCCTATCGCCCCCACCGAACCCCATGCACGCTGCCATACATGCTGAGTCCTATTCATTCAGGTGTTTGTACCCAAATGCCCTTCAGTGTAAATGCATCTGGAGTCTAGTCAGCCCATCCAGTGGTTGTATGTAAGTCATACTCTCCCTCACCCAGCAGCAATCAGTCTCAAATAGTTCTCAATCTAGTGCATTTCTCACCTCCCCTTTGGGTCCTTGTTTAATTGAGCTGACATGGGTCCTGCATTTGACACCACCACTGCCACAGGCTCACATGAGCAAGCCTCCAGTGGCCTGGAAGCCTCCACCTCGTGTTCATGAACCAGCCCTGGCTCTTACAATCTTTCTGCCTCTTCCGCAATGGTCCCTGAGCTGTGGGTGGGTGAGGCTCCATATAGGAGTCCCATCCTGCACTCTACAGTCTCTTATTCACCAAACCTTGGCCAGTTGTGGCCTTCTGTGTGTGTCCTACTCTAAAGTACATGGAAGCCTCACTGGTGAGAGTTGAGGGGTGAATTAGCCCACTCTCTACCCTTTATTCCGCTGTGTTCCATAGTTATAGAGACTGTGGATGCAGAAACTACATCTCCCAGATGTATGGTCTCTGTGCCTGACCAAATGTGCAGTAGCCTCTATCTGTTCAAAAAAAAAAAAACTTCTTTGATGAGTGTTGTATGGAATGTTTGTCATTCTAAGGGAGGTCTCTTCTATCTGGCACTGCGTTCCCTGCCAAGCAGCTCCAGGTCTACATATGCATCAATGCTCAGACACTCTACGTGCATTTCTCACAGGGTTTCTAGGCATCACTTTTCCCTCTAGGTTTCCTGTCCACGAGATTCACTCATCTCCACTCTTTTTTCTCCCATCTGCCTCCCTCCTCCTCCTCCCTGGTCACAGTGCCCCCATTATTCCCACCCTCCCTCCAATACCTCCTGACTCCTGCCATCTTTCCTCTCCTGACTTCCCTCCCTCCCCCACACCATGGTCCCTGCATGTCCCTCCCTCCTCTGCTCCCTGCCGATTACTCATTTTCCACCTCCCTCAGGTGACATCTGTTCCCTACTGTCCCCCTTCCAGGTTGTTTCTTTTCCTTTACCTCCATGTGTCCTTTCCCTTTCCCTGGCTCCTGGTGTTACATCAGAATGTATACACTCACATATAAGGGACTGGTGCTACAGTCCACAAATGAGGGAAAACATACATCGCTTGCTTTTCTGTGTCTCTGTTGCTTCACTCGGTATAACAGTCTCTAGCTCCATCCATTTACCTGCAAATTTCATAATTTCATCTTTTCTTACTGCTGAGTAGAACTCCGTTGAGTGGATATACCACATTTTCATTAACCATTCATCAATTGATGGATGTTTAGGTTGTTACCATTTCTTAGCTATTGTGAAAAGAGCAGCAACAAACACGGACGTACAGGTATCTCTACAGTAGGATGAGTCCTTGGGTATATGCCAAGGAGTGGTATCACTGGATCATATGGTAGGTTCACTTTTAGTTTTTTGAGGGTTCTCTACACTGCTTTCCGTAGGGGTTGAACAAGTTTGTATTCCCACCAGCAGCGAATGAGTGTTCCCCTTTCTCCACAGCCTCTCTAGCATTTGGTCTTTCATTCTCTTGATCTTCGCCAGTCTGACTGGGGTAAGATGAAATGGTTAAAGTGGTTTTGATTTGCATTTCTCTAATGACTGAGGATGTTGAGCACTTCTTAAGGTACTCCTTAGCCATTTTTATTTCTTCGCTTGCGAACTCTCTGTTTAGGCCTATCACTCATCTTTTTATATATATATATTTTATGTGTATGAATGTATTGCCTGCATGTATGTGAGTGCACTTGTGTCGTGCAATGCCGTGGAGGTCAGAAGAGGGCCTCCAGATCCCTTGGAACTGGAGTTAAGGACGGTTTATAGCCACCATGTGGGTGCTGGGAATCGAACTCGGGTCCTCTGCAAGAGCAGTCAGTGCTCTTAACCACTGAGCTGTCTCTCCAGCCCCTATTGCCCATCTTTTTATTTTTTATTTTCTTTCTTTCTTTTTTTTTCTTTTTTGAGTTCTTTGTATATTCTGGCTATTAATCCTACATCAGATGTGTAGCTGGTGAAGATTTTCTCCCATTCAGTGGGTTTCCTCTTCCCTTCCTTGTTTCTTTTGCTGTACAGAAACTGTAATTTAATGTGGTCCCACTTATTGACAGTTGACCTTAGTGCCTGAGAAGCTGGTGTCTGATTTAGAAAGTCCTTTCCTATGCCTATATCTTGGAAAGTGCTGCCTATGTGTTCTTCTAGCAGTTTCTGAGTTTCAGGTTTTATATTGAGGTCTTTGATCCATTTGGAGTTGACTTTTGTGGAGGGTGAAAGATAAGGGTCAAGTTTCATTTTTCTGAAGATGGAGATGCAGTTTTGCCAGCACCATTTGTAGAAGACGCTGTCTTTCCTCCATTTTGTGTTCTTAGCATGTTTGTCAAATATCAGGTGGCTGAAACTATATGAACTCGTGTTTGAGTTCAAATTATATGAACTCAATTTGTGAACTCAAATTATATGAACTCTTCTATTGTGTTCCATTGATCTATGTGTCTGTTTTTGTGCCAATACCATGCTGGTTTTATGACTATAGCTCTGTAGTGCTTTCACAAAAACTGTATAGATGTCAGACCAGAAGATGTGCCTGCTAGGGCTGGAGAGGTCTAGCTCAGTGATAGAGTGCTTGCTTAGCACACATGAGGCCTTGTTCTCCATTTCTGGTACCACAAAAACATGTTTGAGTTTCCCCTAGACAATTCCATTGAGATTGGGTTGAAAACAGGTATCAGAACTTTTCTTTTAGAAGTGTAAGTAGAAAAGATGCCTTGTGAGGTAATGACTGTGGACACCTGGGACATCTTTTCCTGACCTAGATATGGGTTGCACATGGATCAAAATGTGGGGAATGCATCACAATGTTTACTTATAATCTTGTACACTTTTCTAATTGTTTTCAACTTCAAAGAGATTCTTACTATACTTTTGATAAGTAATAGCTTAATAAAAGTACTGATTTCAATGAATTTAATTTTAAAGTATCCCCATAGAAAAGGCAACAGAGAGACCAAACACTGAAAAGCTAAAGCCATCATTTTAATAGGATGGTGACATTGAGAGACCAAATTCCCAGAAGAGATCAGCAGGCGCCCTCGGAATCTTGATACTACTACCCGATCAGAACGGGCATATCCTTTTTACTTATGCAGCATTTGTAATAAGTACCACAAAAAATATAATATACTTCATCTGCTACACAGTTTACCCTGCAAGTGCCTTTTGTTAGCCAGCACGTAGAAAATATTCGGCTTATGTACATATTCGGTCCGCTTCTAACTGCCAACGGAAAGAAAAAGAAAAGCGCAGTTAGTGTCTCCCAGTGTCAGACGGCCAGGGATAAATTAGACTTCTGTCACTTCATGCATTTTAATGGAAATATCAAACAAGCAAATAGACTCAACATATTTATGGCCAGATACCCCCTTTCTGATTACTTCTAATTTGTTTTTCGGGGGCCCTGTTAGGAGCTGTTAGTTTCATGACCCAAAATTGCATGACTCACTAGTCATTTACATACAGGTAACAATGCAGTAGACAACTGTTTGCTGTATAGAAAGCTCATTCCGGCTCTGGAGACATTCTAGGAGCCTGCAGAGGCCCCATACTAAAAGACACAGAGGGTCTCAAAGTTCCAGTCTGAAGAAAGAAAGATGAATGACCTAGAGTTTTAGAAGCCCTTGGATCCATCCCTGTAGCCCTCAATAATTTTCTGTGTGACTTTTTGACAAATGCCTCATTACCTGCCCTGGCTTAATTATAGGGCACTCGGGGATGTCCTGTGGGATAATGGGTGTGGAATGGCTTGAGGCACCTAAAATACATGTCTAAATCTCTCGATGGTAATGCTGAGGCCAAGGTAATTCTGAAAGCCATGGAAGAGGGGAGAGGTGGTAGGATGCAGTTTATGAGGGTGAACGTGGCCCTGAGTCATCCCCCTCTTCTGTGTTAAGCCCTAGTCACTCTCCTACTTGCCCCCATGGAGCCATGGACTGTAGAAATAATCAAGGTGTGAAAATAATTAAAGGCAAACTTGCCCAGTGTGTGCTCAGTAGCCCTGCAGCACCTTCTCCAGGAAAAGAATCAAGGGAAGACATAATACCGGGTCCAGAGATCCTGCCACGCAGGACAGCAGCCATCTCAGTGTGACCCTCATCTATGTCTATCTTTTTTTTTAATGTTTCACACCTGACCCTTAGGTGACACCTTTTGAATACAAAGGTTTGAGGCAGGAGGTCTGAGCTTTCTTAACACCCCCAGAAAACCACAAGCTAAATGACATTGAGAACCTCCACTTTAGTTATTTAAGTTATTCTCAAGTGTCTCGCTTCTGTCCAGAAAACAGAAAGTCCCACTGCTCATCCCCATGCTCCGCAGGATGCCCCCTTGCACTGCAAGCTGATTCAGCACGTCAACTAGCTCTGTTTTAAGAGTCTGCATAACTTTTGCTTTGGCTTCTAAATAAGCAAAAAATTGTCTGGATAACTACCGGAGGGTGGGAGGGACAAGTACTAAGAGTCCTCAAAGACCAGCTTCCCTCCCACCCCAAGCGCCATCTGTGCACTAAAAGTCTCATCACTCCACTCTGCCTCATTACCACCAATATCAGCCCAACCTTACCCACAAGCTTCACACACGCTCAAGACCAAAATCCAGAACCAGTTTTTCCTCTGAAAGAGCCATTTCCTGTCAGGAATCCTAAGCATTCCCAGCCACAGCTCATGGCATCCATCCCGGCTCATGCCCTGCCCTGTTTCTGTTGTCTGAGTCCTGCTTCCACCTCAGTCTTGTAGAACCTCACACCCTAATTCCATGGAGAAAGGAGTTCATTTCACCTGGTGGAACATAGGAGAGCAAGACAAAGACCACCAGGACCAACAGCAGGCTCCTCATGGTGAAACCAATGAGTGGCAAGGCTGAGATGCAAGAAAGAGCCACTCTGTATGTAGCTTTTAAAACATGAGGACTTGCATGGCTAGTGAACCTTTTGGAACAAGAACATCTGCTTGCTCCACTGAGCAGTCCAATTAACCAAGGTCTGACTTTGAAACGAAATCTCTTCACTAAATCTCGCTCAGCGCTGCTTATAGTCCACTAACCCAGTTCACACTGTGTAAACGGTCTTGTTCTAGGCACTACTTGGATTCTATGTAGAATCCAAGTATGTCTTTATGTCTTCAGCATACAGCCATTTAATAAATGCCTAATGCATTTAACAAACGTGTGTTCACAAAGCTGTAAATCTAGTTTAGGTAGCTGGCAGTATACATGATAATTATTTTCAGTTTCATACACACAAAACTCAGGTGGGTAGTCGCCCCATCTTACAAATAAGTAGTATGAATCCTAACTGAAATAAATGACTTTCCTGAGTTCACATAAATTGTCATAACAGCTGCACAACTTATACACAGGTCTTCCCAACTCTTACATATGAAAACTTAAAGACTGGCTTTACCTGATTTCAATGCAGCCACAGCTCTTTAGGAAAGTAAGAGGTCCCTAAAGAGTGTGGACACCTGCCTATTACCACCAACATAAGTCCAGAAAATACACCGAGTTCATGGGCTCCTACTGAGCGTGACCATGTGCTTTAGCCTTTCTCTGGGCAATGTGTGCTATGCACAGAACAGATGATAAAATCCTTGTTTTGAGGGCCGAAGGTTAATAATACTTGACAGCTTTCAAAGTGTTTTAAAGTTTTGCAAATTGCCGACCTGCTGTAGTGTGAAGCTGCAGGAGTCTTAATGAGATAGCCTGAGCGCCGCTCTGTGTCCTGTACACACAGCTTGAGGCACTTTTAATAAGGCATCTACTTCACCTGTCTAAACAACAATCTTCTACCTGTAAACCGGGCTGTACATCATTGGTGTCCCTGTTTCAAAAACATGAGGTCACTGGCATGGTAGTACATGCCTTTAATCCCAGCACTCAGGAGGCAAAGGAATTTGAGGCCAGCCTGATCTACATAGTGAGTTCCAGGTCAGCCAGGTCTACAAAGTGAGACCCTGTCTCAAAGAAAACCAAACAAACAAACAAAGACTTATGAGGTCAAACGAAGTAATTTTCAGGAAAAAATCATTTGTAAACCATACATTTTATGGGACTAGTACGTCTGTCTGTATAAAAATAAATAACTAAATAAAAAATAAAAAAGACCTTTAAACCAGAGGTGACGCTCCTAGAACTAGAGACCAAAGGGTCAGCAGCAAAACCCAGTTCTTCCAACTTTGTCCTGGGCTGGCACGATAGCTCGGTGGGAAGAGTCCTTGCCTAGGATGCACAAAGGTTCAATCCTGGTGCTCAAAAAGTTACAATCACTCTTCCCTATGTTTTGCCCACCATACTGGATGCACAAAGATGATGGATAGATGTATGGATAGATAAATAGATTAGATGACAGATAGATAGATAGATAGATAGATGATAGATAGCGCTAGATAGATAGATGATAGATAGATGGTAGGTAGATAGATAGATAGATAGATAGATGATAGATAGAATAGATGATGGATGGATGGATGGATTAATGGATGGATAGATAGAAAGAA